GAAGCATCCTTCCACTCGTCTCAAGGATTACATCATACACACAACTTGGTGTTCCAACCAAAGTCTAAGCCCTTCTGCCAGTTCATCTTGCCAATCTCACTCCTCAGGTACTCCCTATCCTATAACACATTATGTGAATTGTGATAAATTTTCTTTGCGACATCGCTCTTTCTTAGCAGCTGTCACAGCTAGTCATGAGCCACAGTGTTATTTAGAAGCTGTCAAGGACTCTCGTTGGAGAGAAGCAATGAGAAAGGAAATTGAAGTTTTAGAAAACAATAGAACCTGGACAGTGGAGGACTTGCCACCAGGGAAAAAGGCTCTCGGAAGTAAATGGGTCTACAAGATAAAGTACAACTCAGATGGCACAATAGAACGGTACAAGGCACGTTTTGTGATATTCGGAAACAAACAGGTTGAAGGGATAGACAACAATGAAACGTTTGCGCCTGTGGCAAAGATGGTTATAGTTCGTACATTCCTTGCAGTTGCTGCGGCTAAAAATTGGGAACTGCATCAGATGGATGTGCAGAACGCATTTCTTCATGGAGATCTACAAGAAGAAGTCTATATGAAGATGCCTCCTGGATTTGCTTCAAGATTGCCTGGAAAGGTGTGCAAGCTGCATAAGTCGCTTTATGGTTTGAAACAGGCCCCTCGTTGCTGGTTTGCTAAACTAACGACAACCTTGAAACAGTATGATTTTACCCAGTCGCAATCTGATTACTCTTTGTTTATGCTTCGACGTAAGCAGGAACAATTAAATATTTTAGTTTACGTGGACGATCTTGTCATCTCCGGAAATAATAGCAATGCCATTTGGAAATTCAAGAAGTATCTGAGCCAATGCTTCCACATGAAGGACTTGGGAGCTTTGAAATATTTTTTAGGAGTGGAGGTCGCTAGAAGCCCGAAAGGTATTTTTCTTTGTCAACGGAAGTATGCTTTGGATATCCTATCAGAAACTGGATTGTTAGGAGCTAAGCCAGCTGGGCTTCCCCTAGAACAAAATCATAAATTAGCTCTGGCAGATGGTCCTATAATGATAAAGCCGGAGAGTTACAGGAGGTTAGTGGGTCGTTTGATTTACTTGACCATTACCTGTCCTGAGTTGTCCTATTGTGTGCATGTGCTCGCTCAATTTATGCAGACCCCCCGTGAAGAACACTGGGAGGCGGCTTTACGTGTGGTGCGATATTTGAAAGGTAACCCGGGACAGGGAATCTTTCTTCCAGTTGACAGTGATCTTCGATTGTATGCTTACTGTGATTCTAACTGGGCCGGTTGTCCACTGACACGACGTTCTCTCATCGGATACTTTGTTTTATTGGGACAAGCATCTATCTCGTGGAAGACAAAGAAGTAGCATACAGTGTTCAGATCATCGACTGAGGCGGAATACAGGTCTATGGCAACAATTGCATGTGAATTGAAATGGTTAAAAGGGTTGTTGCATTCATTAGGTGTTGGTCATCCTGACCCTATGCGATTATACTGTGATAGTCAAGCAGCTTTGCATATTGCTGCGAATCCGGTCTTCCATGAGAGGACTAAACACATTGAAGTAGACTGTCACTTTGTCCGCGGTGAAATCCAGAATGGGAATATATGGCCCTCCTACGTTCGGACTTCCGAGCAACTTGTTGATATATTTACAAAGGCCCTGGGCAGGCCACAATTCGAACATCTTCTTGCCAAGTTGGGCATTTCCCATTTACATGCACCAACTTGAGGGGGGGTATTGAGCCTTACCTTGTATAAACCTTATCTTAGCGTAGCCTTATCCTGTATGAATTTTAGTTGTTTTTGGGTTTGGTTTCCATCTTCGTTTAGGAGTTAACTCTAACTCTAACTCTATATATATATCTTGTAATTGTTCGCTAAAAGAGATACAAAAGAAAATCTTTCTCCTTCGACCTGAAGTTTCTCAGGAGATAGACTCCCCGTGCTAGTTCCGCATAGTCATTAAATATAATTGATCACTCAGGTGCAAAGACCCACCTGTCATGCACATAAGAACTCTCTCCAACTCCTTCCACACTGTCCTAGTCATTGTTCGAGATCTTAACATGGTCTCGATCCCTCTTTTGCCACTACAAAATCATGGTTGGAGTTTTCCTGAGGTGCCACTAGGCCCTAATATGGTCTTCTTCTTCTTCTTCTTCTTCGTCTACTAGAGGAGACTGTATTGATGAGCTCTACTCAGCCCCTCCTCAGCCAACCTAGCCATGGTTACGCAGATGTAGAAAAACCTCCCCTTCCACCCATGGATAAAGGAGGGGTCCTAGAACAAATATCTTCTCGATATTCTCAACCATGCAAGAACTAAAACCACTCCTTCAACATAGTGTGTAGAGGTGTAAAATGGGTTGTGTTTTGCCGGCCCGTGGGTTGTGCCGCCCCCTAGGGATAACTTGGGGGGTCGGCCCGACACATCCCACGGCCCAGGCTTGTGTAGGCTCATGCCGTACTACGGGTCGAGCCTTGGGCCAGGTCGGGTCATGCATCAGTCCAAAGCTATTTATTTAAAAAATGACAAAAACTTAAAATTTTAATTTTATATGAACTTTGATGAATAAAATTACTTATATATATAATATTAAATAAATTAGTATAATAAAATTAAAAAAATTATTTATTTTATTAATATATTATATATTATATTATTATAATATATATATATATATATATAGAGAGAGAGAGAGAGGTTGTGTCAGGCTGTGCAGCGGGCCATGCAAACATGTGGGTTGCGTGCTGCACGGCCCGGTCTGTGGACCTAAAACCCTAGACACAACACAACCTGTGACCCAACCCGATTTACACACCTCTAATAGTGTGGTTCAGACGAAGAGGGGGTGAAAACCTTACGTCTAGTCTAATGTTGTGGGACCAAGTTGCGCACACCAAAGTGATCAAGAACCGCAACGAATTTGGCACCAGTTGTAATGAAGTTACTCGGTGCAATGCCAAGAGTTGAGACACCAGCTTGTCAATAGGGAACCTAAGCCCGACTATGAGGCTGTTCTCATACATGCATAGCCATCCCATTGGCACCTCGTAGGTTCATTCCTCGATAGGAACCCTCGTGTAGAATTCCTTGGGGATGTGTTACATTTGATGGATCCATAGCGGATTCTCCTCCTCCTCTAACACATTTTGGATGAGTCAAGGACCCATCATCGAGTAGATTCTTGGCGGATGACTCTTCCCTAAACTCAAAATTTACCACCCGAGCATCAGTCCCAAGGTCCTAACCTTGAGAATGCTCTCATCTTAGTCATCACTGTCAACGAAATTCACCTTGGTTTCCCCTATTTTACCTAGGGATTCTCAACAACTACCAAACATTGGGCCTCAATCACCCCGACCGACCTTGGCCTTGGACCTAGGCTCGTCCCCAACATTGGGACTGTGGACCTCGATCTCCCTAACCTCGACCTTAGTTGCTCCACTAGACAAGCCAAAGTGGGCACTCACCAACTCCGACCCTCAGACTAGGAACTAGAAGAAAACATGATTTAACAGGAAGAGCAAAGAAGACTTGTTGAATCAAACTAGAACCCAAACCAATGAACTTAATCAAGCTGACAACTAGAATGACCTAAGCTCTTTCCAACTCTCTCGTAGACTCCAGAAGTAAATGATTATGTCCTAATTGCTCAGGGCTCCTCCCTTATATAGGGCGTTTAACGGCTCAGATCAGTCGCCTATCAACAATCCAAATTCCACCTTGATTTGACACCTGCCACACATCTCACAATTGAGGGGATGCTTAGGCAAACACCTCAAAAGATGAAACAACACATTAATGAGGTTGCTCGTGCTAGCCACATAAGCAGAAGTGGCATAACCTCTTGGGGAGCATATACGACCCACACACCACAACCTAGCTTGAAGCCTTGAATTTGACCCTCACTCCAATGAGCAACTGAGATACTTCCTTTGAACCAACCTCTTACTGGACAAGCAATAAGACAATCACCTCGATTTCGAAAGTTGGGGGCAAGGGATGAAACTCAATAGAATGACCAATTTGTTTCTTTAGTTAACTATCATTCTGCCTCTTAATGAATTCCATTAACTCACCCCCTTTAAGTAGCTCAGGCCACTAATTATCTCTTCTCTTAATAACAGGAATCCCTAAATTGAGAAACAACAAATCTACCACGGTGTCATGCTTCAACCACTTTTTATAATTATGAGTTCTAAATTTTAGCTTACATTTTCATGCGATTCCCATCAACAAATTTTATGCAACAATTGATTATTAAGTTTATTTATTCATAAATATTAACAATGATTATGTTTATTTCCTACGAATTAAGGCATACATGCATATCTTAGTTATTTTATCATTTTTCAACGTTCCAATTGTTTTCTGGTAGTCCACACATATCTTCACATAAACCATTGGAGTATCTTAAATTTATATACCTCATTTATGGCCATATAAGACCAAGATTTAGCATCATTTATATAACTTTTGGAACTTATTTGAGTTCTCCCAACCTATCCATCTGTATCCATGCAAGGGCAAAGCATATCCCAATGTGTCTCTTAAAATTACCTTTCTAATACTTAGAACATTGATTAATACCATCATCTTCACTTTAAATCTAATGACACATTTATTAGAAAACCAAGTTTAACATTGAAAAACATACCATAAGAAAGATTTTTCTACTTTTATTTTTCTACAATTTGTAGATAAAATATCCATCTTAGGGTTTGTTCGTTTGCTCTAAATTTTGACATCTAAAAATGTAATAATTACATTAAGAGGTATATTGGTATTGGTGAACTTTTCTTTCCTCTTAAATTTGAATGGCAAAGAATGTTGCTATGAATTTTAAATTCTGAAAATTATCAAATATCCATTTTGACCCTATATACGAAGAGTTTTTTTGTTTGTCTTTTTGGGGGTATCATTAGAAAATAAAAAGTTGTATGATTGTACTTTAAGAGATAAGAAATAAGAGGAAACGAACAACCATTTTTCTCTTAAAGTTAAAAGGTTTCTCTTAAGAGATGAGAGTTAAGAGGAAATGAACAAGCCCTTAATCACCCCTTAACACCATATAAAAGAACTCCAATTCCATGGGTCAACTGATCACAACCCAAAAGAAATGTATGGGGTAGTCCATCTTACCAACAACTTGCAGTCAATTTGTGATACAGGCTTCAGTCTGCAAATAAGTCTATTGTGCCCGTGGCTCCATCCAGTGTCTAGTTTACAACTAGCTTAAGAAGTAGCTGACTTGAGCACAAGCATCTTTTGAATATGTCATTCCTATACTGTCCCGGGGGGGTTAAATCATTGTTGTTTAAAACCCAAATAGATGTTCTTTACTATTCCAACACCCAGGCAAACAAGGTGACTAGTAGAAGAGCCTCCATGCTTTACGAACGTTGATCACAAGGTTCAGTTGTGGCCCTATGACTAGTCCCTGCTGATATCTCTGCCCATTAGTCATAACGAGGAAACACAGCTGAGTAACTTTCCAGTTGGATGCAAAATTTTCTAACCTTCCATCAAATTGTTCAAGATATAAAAGCTCCTTCCAACGGTTTTCCACAATGGTTACCACATACCACATGCTACATGCATTTTTGTTAAACCTTCAGCTCACTTGCAAGTGCCAATGCCACATCATGATATAAATATCATTTGGTTTGATCACAGGTTGCCAAACCCAAAAAGGATGAAAAAATGCCTTGTCTTCCAGTCTCCAGAAAACCATCCCTCATTCCAGAAAGGCGTCTTCCAAAACAAGTATTTATTCTTTAATGGTGCATGCCATTGTTATCATGAGAACTGCCTCTGAATCAGGAAAAAGAAAAATACTTCAAGGGAAGCAGATGAATATCCATTGTCCTACTACTCTCCCTTTAACTGCTACTTAAATCATCACAAATTCGCTTTCTGGACAAAGCTCTAAAAATTGATACAACCGCAAGTAAAGCTATCTCCATGTGCTCAGAGCTACTTGTCTTTATAGATACCTGCCCCATTTTCTGGCTGTTTAAATTTGCATTGACTGACATTCTTGTACATCGGCCTGGGCGGAAATCAGACTGAACACTTCCCCCAAAGACTGTTTCCTTATTCAAGGAGAGAACTGTCATAGTCAGGCTGATCTTGTCATTCCTCACTGGGTAATCTTTCCCTCTTAAAGTTGTTTGGAAGCTACCCCCATAAGCCACCTGACCAAGACCTCCCATGCGACCAATGTTCAACAAAAGTTTCACCCTCTTCCCAATTGAAATGGTGTCTTCTATCTTGGCACCAACAAAATAGTTTTTCCCTGTAGAAGTTACAGATACCCCACATCCTGTCATATTGTGCTTCAAATTACTCAGCTTTGTGTCTCCATGTAATGTACAAACTAAATCCCTACCTCTAGTCTGAACATCAAGTCCTGCACAAACAATAGGGCCCTGTGGCTCTATGTAACTCGCAGAACATTCAGTCAGAATGCCAAAATCACGCTTATCCCAGCTCATCTGTCCTACAACAGAAGCATGGAGGTTTCTTCTTATTTCTACATCTGTCTCTAGATTAATGCCATCAAACCCCACATCATGATCCCAACCTTGGGGATCCATAACAGGTCTGACAACCCAACGGTCACTAGCCACAAGGGAACGGTACCTATGCACAGGGCAATCAGAATCAAAACTTGGTGGGACTGTAATATCTGGCAAAGGAACAGCCTCTGGAGATGCTTCTTGATTTTCAAAGTCATTATCATCTTTTGAAAGAATAACTTCTCTCTTTCTCTTAATCTCAGCTTTCAATTGCTTCTTCAGATAAAGAGTCTCCCGGTAGTCCAGTTCATCAAGATAGTCCTTCTTCTGAGATTTTGTTAATGATTCAAACTGGGACTTTGTCAGGATGCGAATAGGAGGTAACTGATCATACTCATCTTCACCCTCTGTGTCTGAAATCTCATCCACCTCGCTGTCCATCCCACTCATTCTCAAATCAGAACCGAACTGAAGAAAAGAAGAAAGGAGATGGGGCAGAGATGGCAACCGAGTAGTACGCATTGGACCAATTTCAATGTCATCCTGAAATTTCAGAAGGTTGTTGGCATCTCCCAGCACTTTAGTGCATATGCATAACAGCAAGAACTGAGACCTCCAAACTTGTCCATTTGGAAGGACTTTCTCCCCTGTGATATTCATTTTACACTGAGGGTGGTTCTCCACCAAAAGGACGGGATTTTCTAGTCTTGAATCAGAAATAGCCTGGTGTATATGGTGTTGTACCAGATTCGTGCACTGATTCACAAATGAGTCATAGTTGAGTGGATAACCACTAGGTCCTTCTGGAAGAATTGAAGAAGCATGAGTCATAACAAGAATGGTATTAAACCAAATTTCAGAACCAAAAACCTCAGTTATAAGCTTCAAGAGAGGGAAATCATTATAGCCCATGTTGATGAGGTCAAGGCGTTCAAAATATAAGACAATGTCTGGTGGGGATCTTCTTATGAACCTCTTCACTGATCGCATGATCTTCCTGTTCTTGCGCAGATTACTTGTAGAAGGCAAGAAACCTGGTGTATCAATAATAGTTATTTTAATACCATTGATGGTCCCAACTATCTCCTCAATGTGATCAGTGGCAGGTTGAAATGCATCTGTTACAGCCATTGTTTGGCCAAAGATGGAATTTATAGTTGCACTCTTGCCAACACCTGTTTTCCCCAGAAGAAGAATCCGACAGGAAAATTCCAAATCAGGTTGGCCAGTTGACTCTAGCTTTTCTGCTATTGCTCTAGCTCGGTCACTCTTAATTATGGCTCTTTTTAAGTCTGATTCCCCTGATCGTATGAGAGTTGCTACATGCAATCGGTATAACACCTGTGCAACCAACATACTATCCAGTGACTGCCCAATCCTGCAAACAACACGTAGGAATTTGATTTGTAGTGCATCAATCTTAGCCAACTGGTCCAACTTCTCATTGGTGTTATATGTTACATGAAAATCCTCAACTGAATTGTGTGAAGTGGAAGTAAGAAGCTGATTTTCTTGATTACAATTGGAGTGAGCAGAAACACAAGTAGAAACTAGTGGTGCTGACAAACCAGATGTTGGATTTGAACCTGAAATCATGAATGAAAATATTTTCTCATGAAAAGTGCATCCAAATAATCAACAGGTGGAGTTCAAAGAGAAGACAGATAAATCCACTAAAAAAAGCTCCTTGAGTAGCCAGCTATTGAATTATTAAACTGGAAAAAAACATATAGTTTGGTGTACGTTTATATTCACTTTTTTTGTTCTTTACATGGCAACTATGTATATGCAGTCTGAACAGTAAAGATAGCAATTACCATGTCTAAAAAGAACCAAAAAAACATGGTACATGCAGGGGATCCACTCACAGAATTGATTACTAGTAAAAATATTATATAAAACAAGCATATGGGCCAAGGTCATCATTATCAGCTAAAATTGTCCCAACAAGCATACAGAATTGATTTCTTCCACATTTTCATTCTGTTCAGTAACATATCCATTGTTAAATTATTAGCCCTTAAATCAATTTCTTTTATGAATGAATATAATTTATTAATTCAGAAAAAAGACAGTACAGGGAACCCAAAAGAGGCACGAGCTGTTACCTCTTCAGAGTAGTATTAGCCCTTAAATCATTTCCCACTACTTCAACCCATGTCCTTTTTGGTCTGCACCTAGCTCTTCTATCCCCTTTAACTTGTAATAGATCAGTTCTTACTGATTGACCACACCACCATCTTGGTCTACTTTCCCCCATTTTATCACCTATTGAAGCTACCACTAAGTTCCTTCAAATATTTCCCACTCCTCCATCTCGACATTTGAATTTCTGCCTTGCTCATTTTTTAGGCATGTTGTTTCTTGACTTTCCTGCACACCACTTCATACTATACTGCTGATTTTACAACCATTTTATAAATTTTCTTTTTAGCTATGTGGTATTCTCCTTCAACATAAGACTTCAGATGCACTTCTCCATTATTCCAAGCTAAAGGAAGAGTTCACCCTGAAAATTAAAAGAATAAATAGGAATGGGCCTTAGTTTCATTTATTTTTAGTAGCTTTTTTTCTGTTTTATTTCTGCAGTAATGGGCCTTATTCTTTTTATGTTTTTTAAAGTCAGCCGCCAACTAGGGGCACTCATGTAACTTTACAACAGTATTTTAAAAGCGCAAGGCGCAAAAAAAAAGGCGCAGGGGTCAATTTGTGCCTGAGGTGCAGGGCAAGGTGTGCGCCTTTTTAAGCAAGGCGCAAAAATTAAGAAAAAGCTAAAAATCAAAATAAAATAAAAAATGCAAAAAATAAAAGAAAAATAATAAACATAATATTAATAAAAATATAAATTTTAATTTAAAATAAATGGTTTAAAAAACCTATTATCTAATATTAAAATACATAAATATAACATGATAACATGTAAAGCATATTCAAATGAGAATTTAAAAATAAAATCAAATATATAAAACATTTTCAAGCATATAAAATCCACTCTTGATTCTATGAGCTGCCTTTGTACCACGCCCCTCGAGGCAAGCCCAAACAAATCCACGTTAGGTCTTAAATTCTTAGCTCTCACACAAAAAATAATGATATTATAGTTTTTATTGCTTTTTTAGAAGACATTTTATTAGGATGAATGAATGAACAATAGTACCAAATAGGGAATTCTCGAAGCTTCGGTGACTTGTTTAGGATTGCCTTGAGGGGCAGGGCATGGGGGCAGGGCCCCCGGCCCAGCTACTAAACACAAAAAAAAGCAAAAAAGCATCAATGTTTCAAAAGACGCATGCCTGGGCTGAGGCACAAGGTGCGCCTAGGCGTGTGCCTTTTGAAAGGGCTGCGCCTAGCTAGGACCTGGGCAAGACGCCTACCCTGAAATGCGCCTCGCTTGTGCGCCTCAGGCGCACCTTTTAAGTCACTGCTTTACAATACTTTATTATTCAGCACATATATAATCAAATTAAGGGATAGAGAGAGGATTGAACAACTCTTTTCATCTTCCCTTCTCTTCCTTGTAAATCCTTTTGAACTTCTCTTTCTTCTTCTTTACTATCTTCTTTATTTTATATTTCAGAACTAACAGGGACTCGTGCAATGCATGGGATTTATCAAGGAAAAGTGAAACAATGGCAACTAATAATTATATTAATAATTTTAGTAATTTGTTATAAAAATAATTTAATAATTTATATTAATTATATTAATAATTTTTTAACAAAAATAATAAATTACTACTAATTACCCAATAAATAATTATTTTTCGTATTATCCGTTAATGTTTTATTTTATTTATTTTACTTTATTAATCATTAAATGTTATAATTAAGTTAATCTATAGATTAACTTTTTAGTCAGAATTAAATTAATCTAAGTCCAAGCTCAAGGTTTAAGACTGTGAAACAAATCCTTGGTCTCATCTCCGTCCCCATCCTTGGTTGGGTATCATTATCAATCCCCATCCTTGCCAAGGCAATATCCATCCTTAGCCCCATCGAGTCAAGGAAGCTGAGTACCCGACGGGATGGGGAACATTGCCATCCTATTCACATTCGAATCCTTTTATAGACTCATCATTACAATCTCCTAGTTTGTGCTTCACATCTATAGAAGTGTCAAATGGTTTAGCTCCTAACTTTCTAGTGTCCTTCAAGAAGTCTAGGGTATACTTCCTTTGGGAGATGAAGATTCCCTATTGAGAGTGGGCAACTTCAATCCCAAGAAAGTAACATAATGGTCCTAGATCCTTCACCTCAAATCGGGTAGCCAAGAACTTCTTTAGTCTTTGTATCTTTGAGGCCCAGTCACCTGTGATAACTATGTCATCCACATAGACTATCAAAGCTGCCATATTAATTGTTCCTTCTTTACAAAGAATGTGTGGTTAGTTTGACACTATCTAAAACCCATCTGTTGTACTGCCTGATGGAATTTACTAAACCAAGCCCTTGGTGATTGTTTTAGGCCATACAAAGACTTCACCAACTTGCAAACTTTTTGTTCACTGCCTTTAGCACAGAAGCCAGGAGGTTGGATCATGTACACCTCCTCCACATCACCATTCAAGAAAGCATTTTTGATGTCTAATTGGTGGAGTTCCCAATCCAAATTTGCTGCTAAAGAGAGGAGAACCCGAATGGAATTCATCTTTGCCAGTGGAGCAAAGGTTTTTGCATAGTCTAACTTCGTACACTTGTGTAAAACCCTTTGCTACTAGGCGAGCCTTGTATCTTTCTACCATGCCATCTGCCTTATGTTCCATAGAAAACACCCATTTGCATCCATAGTTGTCAAGGCGATGCCTAGGCGGGCACCTAGGTGATAAGGCGCCCTTGGAGGCACGCCTCGCCCAGTCGCCAAGCAGCTTTGCATACTGTGTAATAAAATATTTTTATATTATTATTTTTTTTAGATTATAATTTTAAAATAAACATTATTAAAGAAAAATATTCATTTTTTATGTTTACAAGCTAATTTCTTTTAGAACTTAAAATTTTGTCTAATCAATACATTTCTTGTTCTTCTTCTTTTCCTATAACAAAAATAGGGGTTTGGCCCCTATATTTTTTGAATTTTCTTTCCTTCTTTTTCTTCTCATAAATATTTTGATTTTCTAGACTTAAACATGAAGTTTATAATTTTCTTATGAAAAATATGGACAGTTATCGAAGAAATTTGGTTATGGAACCTAGGGAACTACCCTAGGATATGTGATTTTTACTTAAAAAAGTCCATCGCCTAGGCGACTAGGCGACAAGGCGCTCCCCTGTCGCCTAGCCTTGCCTTGGTGCCTTGAAAACCTTGTTTGCACCCCATCGGTTCCTTTCCTTTAGGAAGGTCTACCAACTCCCATGTGCCATTCTTATGTAAGGCACTAATCTCTCCTTCATTGCATTCGTCCATTCAGGAACTAATAAGGCCTCTATAACACTTTTAAGAAGTGGCCGAAAGGAAAGCATGAAATGAGGATGAAATGTTCTCATAAGATAAAAACTGAGCCATAGGGTGGTGTGTGGTACATAATCCGATACCTTTTTCCAATAAGGAGGTACAGATCACAAACTAAAGTATCAATATCAATAGGTTTAGGAATATCTATTGATAAAAAAAATAGGTTTAGGAATATCAACTGGGTAATGGTACCTGAATTGGGTGATGGATCCAACCCCTATGAGTCTGATGGCATTGGTTGCATAGCTTCAGGTTGCTCCACAACTGGAGGATGTTGTTGGCCTTAGCTTTTAAAACGTTGTCTACGAAAGACACTAAATGGAGGAGGATCAAGAAGAGAAGGTAATAATAACAGCAGTGTCTGTTTCTCCTCAACCTTACTCTCCCCTTGAGGAGAAATAGATAAATAAGAAACTTTCTCAAAGAAAGAGACATCCATGGAGACAACATATTTCTTGGAAGTAGGGTCAAAACAATGATAGCCCTTTTGAGAGAAGGACGAATCATGAATAAAGCATTGACAACCAAAAACATGCATGGGTATAGGAAACGTTATAGCCTTAGGGAAGAGAATCTGATGTGGAGTCCTACATTCCAATAACCGAGATGGCATACGGTTGATAACATAGGCAGCAATCATGACAACATTCACCCAAAATCTTTTTTGGAACATTCGTCTACAGAAGCATCCCCAAAGCAACTTTTAGGAGATGGCGATTCTGTCTCCACAACCCCATTCTGTTGAGGGGTTATAGCACAAGAGCTTCGGTGAAGGGAGCCACAACATGCAAAAAAAATTCAATTTAGTCACCATGGAAATACTCCTTTGCATTGTCTGACTGGAAAACTTGGATCTTTGTTTGAAACCAAGTGTAATAATGCATTAAAAGTCTTTCACAAGCTTAGGAACTTCTTCTCATGAATGCATTGGGTAAAGCGAAGTGTATCAAGAAAAGTCATCTATAAATGAAATGAAATACTTGTAGCCATTCTTGGTTGGAATATTAATAGGGCCCCAAACATCAGAGTACACAAGGTGAAAAGGAAAATCCGATCTTTTATTGCGTAAAGGAAATGAAGTACTACAATGCTTACTTAATTAACACATTTGATACTGAAACTCATTAATTGACACAGATTTGAACAAATCTGGAAACAAATACTTCAAAGACTTAAAAGACATATGATCCAATCTATGGTGCCACAAAACAACTTGACTCTTACTCGACTGACTCAAAAACTTTGAAGTTGAAGCTGAAGCTACAAGACCAACTTTATCTTCTAATACATAGAGACCATTGACTATGTTCCCTCTACCAATCGTCCTCCCAAATGCCAAATCCTAGAAAACACAAGAATATGGAAGAAAGGTTACTAAACAATTCAAGGCATGGGTAATACTATTAATAAACAACAAATTAATAGGTAATTTTGGGACATGTAAGAAATTGGTTAGAGGGAGGCCAAAGGGTAGAGATATAGATCCCCGACTAGCAATGGAGGACCTATCGACTAACATCACTTTATCTTTGTCAGAGAGCAAGGTATATGAATGGAATAGAGTAGACTTAACAGCCATATGGTATAAAGCATTGGAATCAATAATCCATGGGGATTCTGGAATGTCAAAGGTTACATGAAAAGAAGAGGCTGAGTTATTAGTTACCTAAGGAGGATGCAAAAGAGGTCGAAGGTGTAGGGCCAGAATCTACCTATCGAAGAGCCCTACCATATTGTTCCAAATGGTCATGGAAGGAGTTAATAATATCTTCCTTGATAATAAAACTAGGGGACAATCCAAAGAAGAGCTCACTATAGAATTATCATACTGAGACTTATGGGATAATAAGTTTGCTGAAGTATATTGCTTCTAATTTGGCTTCTTATTTTGTTCTTGTGTTGACTTCTTTCCTAGTTCTTGTACCCACTTTGGTTTTCCAGTTAACTCCCAACAGATTTCCCAGGTGTCTCTGGATTTCTGACAAATGGTACACCACAATTTATCCTGAATTTGAGTTTCCTCTCACTGCTAAGGCAACAGTCTAACCCTCAGAAGCATTCATAGCAGACCTCCTGCTTTCTTTGGACTAGACTAATGCATATACCTCTTGAACAGAAGGAAGGTACTTGCTTGCCCAAAATCTGCACTCTAATGGGTTCATACATGGGGTTTAGACCCCATAGGAAGCAAAAACCCATTGCTGAGAGACTAACTACTTGTAGGCTTTTGCATCTTTATCTCTCTCCCACTCAATGCTTTGATAGTAGTCCAACTCTTTCCAAACTAAAGTCAGGGCTGAATAGTATGCAGATAAACTCCTTTCCCCTTGCTTGCATGTTGAAGATTCTGCTTGTAATTGATAAATCCTAGCACAATGTCTTTGTTCTAAGTATGTAGCATTTGCTTGTTCCCATATTTCTTTTGCTGTCTCAGCCCACATAAAATTTTGTTTAACAAAAGGCAGCATGAATGTCAAAAGTCACAACATAATCATGCAATTTTCTTGGTCCCACTTGTCACATTCAGCAGTGTCGGACTGAAGTTCCTTAACCTTCCCATTAATATACCCTACCTTCCTCCCAGCTGTAATGTACAGCCACATCTCCTTAGACCATGCCAAATAATTCTGGCCATCCAAGGGAGTGATAGTCATGGGAAAACTCAATGTATCATGCCCACCATTCAGTCCACCTTGATTTGATGTAGTTCCTGATGTTGTAGAGTCTTCAGTGGCCATAATCACAATTCCACATAAAACAAAATATTTTTTTTTTCTTCAGTCCACACACACACACTGATGATGACAGGAACCCTACCAGAATTAAAATACCACTCCTGAGGGATATTTCTGTATGCAAAGAGCACACCCAAACACAGTCACGGCTGTAATACACAGGTATTTCAGTACCCTGCCGATTGAACCATACTGCAGTACCCTGCTGATTGAACCAGGTCACTCATGACCTACACAGGTTCCAAGTTCCTACAGATTTGGATCTTCAGATTCACCCAAAAGAGTTAAAAACAACTCCCCTTATACCATTCAGCCAATACACAGTTCAGCCTGTTCTTGGATTTACTACCAAGAACCAGGAGTGCAAAAAAAGGGTTTAGATCTTACCCCTGTTCAGTCCGAGTGGATGTTTTGGAGTTCCAACCCAAATAAAAAATAGTACAGGAAAAGACAAAGGTCATCAACCTCTGAAAATCACTCAACCAACCATCATCCACTGATTCTGGAAGTAACCCCTTTTAGAGTTTCAGCAAAGACAGGGAAGAAAAGAGGTAGCTGAAGTGTTCTCAGTCCGGTCCAGAAGCTGCCTTTTTCATTCGCAGTTCAAGGAAGGAGAAAGGACTGTGATCAGAAAAAAAATGGTCTAGAGTGTACTGTCCGGCTCTGATACCATGTTTTCTGGAGAAGGAGAAGAAGAGAAGAGAAGAGAAAAGAATGTGAGGAAGAAAAAACTCTAGCTGGCAGTGCCAAAGATGGTATTTATATTATAGGGCAATCAAAAAACATAATAAAAGGTAAAATGACAGAAGTGCCCTTGTGGCACAAAATAACTGAATACATTACATCAATTAACTCTAGTGAAAACCTCCAAACAGGAGACATCATTGGTGTCTTTCTCCACATGTATGCGTCTTTTTCTTTACTAGTGGAGAGATTACTAACCATTTACTAATCTCTTGTGGTTTTGTCTCTAGTATTTAGGAGAGGTTTCATGCTTTTTATTGATTGCAGACAGAATCCTCCAATTGATGTAGCTGGACTATTTGATCCTCTTCCTATAGAATGCCAACAAAGAGAAGGATTCTGGTGATGCACGTGCAGCTATTTTGTGGGTGCTATGGGAAGAAAGAAATGACAGAACCTTCAAAAAGAAAATCAAGAACAAAAGAATAGGTCATAGAAAGCATAACAGTTAAAGTAGTGCATCGGGTGAACCAGTGAAGACCATGGAACTGTTTAATCCTTTTACCATGGATGACTTTAGAAGAGGATGAAATTGAATAGCAAAATCAACAAAAGTAAGAACCAAAATTAGGAAGCAATAAAGACCACCATGTTCACCTCAACTTAAAATGAACTACAATGGATGCATCATGGGGGATCCTGAACCGTTGGGTATAGAAGCGGCTTATAGGAAAACTGGGGAAGAGTAATGTGGAGGTACACTAGAGCAGCAGTGGTGTGGACCTTGTGGGAAGAGAGAAATGCCAGAATCTTCCAAGAGAAAGAAAGGAGCAAATGACAAATTATGGAGTGTGTAATGACTAGGGTTATACACCGGCTACAAACATTGGAACTATTCAAAAATTTTACATTTGATGATATTTAGAGGAATTGGCCTTTAGTGGCTTCTAGCTTAGTGCAGAAGGTTAAGGCAAGGTTGGCTTGGACACCTCCCATTGAAGGATTTCCAAAACTAAACTTCGATAGGAGTAGTCAAGGCAACCCAGGCCCAGCTAGAATAGGAAGGGTCATCAAAGACAAGGAAATTTAAGAGCACTCTTCTCAGGACTGGTGGGGAATGGAGACTCCTTAAAGGAAGAATTGTACGCAGCTCTACAAGGAGTACAGATTGCAAGAGAGTTAGGATTGGAAAATTTGGTGATAGAAAGGGACTCCAAGGTGGTGGTGGGTTAGCTAAAAAACCCAGATTCAGTGATTTGGGCTTATAGAAATGAAATGAAGAAATTCAAATGGATAACTCAGCAGATGGATGTAACTATACAATGGGCGAGGAGGGAGGCAAATGCTTTTGCTGATTCTCTAGCTAAACAAGGAGTAACTAGGGATCAGTTGTAGTGGACCCACTTGTAACTTTATGATGTTTTTGTTTTAATGAGTGAGGCTGCACCTCGCGCCTCATATTAGGATGCTTGTAACAGACTCTTTATCATTTGCTTCTAATGAAATCAAGTGAATTTTTATCTATCAAAAAAAAAAAAAAAAAACATGGTTGTCAAGGCAACACCTAGGGAACAAGGTGCCCATGGAGGGTGACATCGCTTAACCGCCAAAGTATTTTGTACATGGTGCTCTTATATACCTTTAAGTTCTTGACTTTTTGAGATTATATTAATAAAATAGACATTACTAAACTAAACCATTTGGTTTCTGAGTTAAAATACAAGTTTCTTTCTATTATTTTCTCATTTGTTAGAGTTCAATCAATGTGTGTGTTGTCTTGAACCCTCAAAGACTTCAATAACTGAACTAATAAGCAATGAAGAACTCAAAATTTTTCTTCTTCTTTCATCTTTTCTTTTCTTCTTTTCCTAGGACAAAAAATAGGGGCTAAGCCCCTCTATTTTCTAAAATTTATTTTAATTTTTTCCATGAATCTGTTGATTTTCTATTTGGGCTGAAAGGAATAGTAGAATCTTTTGTAATAGGTATAAGGATGTTGATCATGTAATTCAGAGAGATGTGGGCAAGTTGATCTCTTGAATTTCTACTTCTGGGGAATTCAGAGATCTTAGCATGTCTGTTTTGTTTCAGTCTTGTTCCTGGTGGAGGTTGTAATTTTGGTTGCTTTTCAGACTGCCTTCTTGGGTCTGAGTTGCAGCCTACTTTTGTTTATGATGAATAAATTTACATTACCTTTTCCAAAAAAAATTCCTATGTTTTAAATGAAGCGTATACATTTTAGAAGATTATAGACAATTACTAGTGAAAGATGATGCTGTTATGGACCTAGGGAATTACCCTTGGATTCATGAATCTTTTCTTTTCTTCTTTTCCTAGGACAAAAAAACGGGTCACCTTGGGGGGGGTGGCGCGTTGAAAACTATGATGTATGAATGCCCCATATATGAGGAAGAAAATCCTTGCATAACATAGAACGAGAAAGGTTTTTATTTTTTTCTGGGGGCCCGGGGGAGGATATAAGAAATGGTGTATTATCTCTAGAAATAGGTAATCCAACAGATTTTAACAAAATAAAAATAACCAACATAAACATTGTCCAATAATAAGAAGAAAATAGATCCAACAAATAGTTCGAAGAATCTATTTTCAATTGAACAACAGAAGGAAACAAGAAAGTATTCATACCTCGATCGTCAAGCTCCTCGCTCGGAGTTTCATCATCAAAGAAGCTCCCATTACCCGACAGGGGTCTTGACGAAAGCAACGACTTCAATGCTAATTGAGATGAAATCCAATCCCTGATTCCCTTCATCCTTAACTCTAAAAGCAGAAACGGGTACCCAGAATCATTTATTTGAATTGTTTCTTAATTGGAAATAAAATTCGGCAAATTCCTTTCTTTTTTATCAATAACTCTGAAAATTTTCATTAATTAAGAAGCAAAATTCGGCAAATTCCTTGTTAAAACAATCTATTCCTTTCTCCATTCTTTGCCCTTCTGAATCGGTAATATCAGAGGGCTCAAACTCAATCTCAGTGCAAAAGACAGAAAAATAAAAGGACTCAGGTACCTACTTTTAGAAGCCGAATTTACTTGTTGCGCTTCTCCTTCTCCTTCCACTCCTCGTTTCTCGTCGATATCGAAACAGGCTCAAAGCAAGCTCTTATCCTCTTTGGATTGAAATCGATTAAAGGGTGGAGACTTCAATTACAATATAGGGATGTAAATGTATCGGGGTCGGCATTGCGTTTATTTCAACCCGAACCCGAGCTGAAGCACAATAATCCGAATCCGTCCCAAAAAAATCCAAAAGCAGTGCAGTTCAGCATGCCTCACAAGGGGTTTAACCTATCTTATTAGACCATATCATCCTTTCTTTCTCATGCGAGTTCCCACTTCCCAGTGAGTTAAATCGTCTCCTCAAAATTTATCATAAACTATTTCCCCACTAAAATTTCCTAAAACATCCCCAAATTCATTTCACATGCCCAATAAAACATCTAATTCTAACATCTTTATCCCTTCCTCTACCACTTTTTATCTATTTCTATAATTATCTTTCTCCAACTTCAAAATACATATATTTTATTTTTCACTAATGTACTAAAATATTAATATTTAAGTAAACATTTTCTGAAAACAACTTAAGTTAAAACTTAAATATTGAAATAAGATGAATGAAAAATCTATATTTATATGTATATTTATACTATCTATAAAAGTATGGATAGATGTGGTTGGCTTTTGGAATTTTCACTAGACTAAACCTCCCATCTCTAAGGTTTGAATCTGAGAAGGAATAGTGGTAAATATGTAATTTTGTTGTCTCATTTAATGCTTATTAGGAAATTACTATTCTTTCTCATTTAATGATTATTACAAAAAAGACACAAAACTCCATTCTTTTTTTTCATAATTGTAAAACAAGTCAATGGCAATAGTGTTATTTACATTCACATTAAACGCTTGTTATGGAAAATACACAAAAATCCATCTTTTTGTTCAATAATTGGAAAACAGACCATAGTAATTGTTGGAATCTCGCTTGAAGTTTTTGACTATTTGCCTAAACCTCCCCTAAAGTTTGGTAATTGCAATCACCTCCCCTAAACTTCTCGACACAGTTGCAAGTAGACCCCCTTTGTAAAATCCTCTAAAAAATGCATAAAAATGTCCAAAATACCCATATAATTATTATTGAGACTGGTTTATACATAAAAAAAACAATATAAATGTTATGAACAACAAAAAAAGAGTTTAAAGTTATAATTTTACCTTTGAGTAATTGATATGAAGGGCAAACTTGGAAAATACATCAATTCTGAAAAAGAGATTAGAAAGGATTAGGGTAGTGATTGATATGAAGAAAAAATTGGGAAAATAAACATTTTGGTCAAAAAGTAACTACATGGGTATTTTGAACATTTTTGTCCTTCTTGTTAGAAGATTCTAACAGAGGGTCTACTTGCAATTGTGTCAAAAAGTTCATTGGAGGTGATTGCATTTACCAAGCTTTAGGGGGGTCAGCAATGATAAAAAATTTTATGGGAGGTTTTATAGCAATTTACCCTTTCATTTATTTAAATTAAAAGAAAATTTTGAAAGTACATCTTATGTTCTCAATAGCCAATTGTAGGCCACATTAACCACCATGAAGAGTTTTCCAACTTGCAAATTTATGAGCAATTTATTCTTTAAACTACTTTTTTATTGTTTTTAAAGTATTTTTAACCTATTTTCATTGGTTCAGTTCTTGATCATTAAGATAGCAGGTGGTTTTCTCTTCTTTATTCCCACCATATGGTGGGTTAATTTTTCATTTCCATTACCTTAAAGCCCACATCATTGGATGGCAAGATATCTGCACAAGTAAGTGATATTTTTTATAGCAGTTTATTGTAAGGTTTTCAGTGGTTGAAGGAGCTGAAGTTGGATTTATCATATAGAAGTTAATTCTTGCAAAGGTAATGAGAATTCAAATAAAATTCTGACAAAGGTAATTGATAAAAATTAGTTTTATTAATGAACCATAATAAATAAAAATAATAAGAATTTTATTAATTCTCGCTACCAATGAAAGAATTTTATTTGGACATATTTTTATATTAATGAACCATAATAAAGGTGATAAATAAGAATTATTTTTATAGATGTAGAAATATAAAAAGTTACAAAAAAATGGAAATATATTATATATTATCATCATCACAGAATTTGTCACGTGCAAAGCACACACACAAATTCTAATATCTAAAATGCTAAGATGGCTAGGGTTTGGTTTGGCCTAATTAAAAATGTTGTAAGACTTGTTTAAATGTCACTTAATAAAGCTTGTACATAGCATTTGATAGTAATAAAATTAATAAAATGTAATAAAAATTAACAAACCATTTGGCCCAATTGATATATATATATATAGGTGTGTGTGTGTAATTATGATTAAATTTAATCACCCACATACTCCCCCACGGTCTACATTTTCCCTTGAATCTATATTCTCATTCCCAAGTTGGAATGAATACATGCAAATTACAAAATGTGATTCTCAGTAATAATCCAAACCTGTTAAATATGATCTTAGATATCAGGTCAATCTAGATTTAACCCAATTAATTTGATGCCCTTTCTATTTTTTTTTCTCATTCCTCTCCTTTGGGCAAGCACCTAAACCGTCCTTTCCACACAATAGGTACAAACAAATATAAGTTGGTTTTGGACTCAACATGCAACTTTACATGTGTTGTAATTATGTTGTAGGGTTTGTTGGTGTGCCATAATCAAAACATGGACACATGGCCCATTTTTATCACAATTTTGTTGGGAACCCATGACTCCAACTATTATCCCTCTAGGGGAGCCACAATAAAAAGACAATAATCAAAAACTTGAAAATCATTGAAGCTCCGTTTGGGAACGATGCAAATATAAATGCAAAGTTCAGTTAGTTTTGCAATGACAATGCAAACACGAATCCCAATAAAATATATGCCTTTTTTTAACAAACATCCACATTGAATGCAAATTTACTTCTTTTTTATCGATGTACATTTACATCTCATTTTCGATGTAAGCAAACATTGAAAAATGTGTTTCCTGTCATTTGTCGATGCATAACCGCATTCTTGTCAAACATTGACAAAACTGAACCGGAGTACATATTTACCCTGAACCGGAATTTACACTCCATTTGCATCATTCCCAAGTGGAGCCTAAAGAAAATAGAGAATGCAAAATTCTTCACGACTTTAATTCCAAAGCTAGCGCTGAACTTCCTGCTTTTCTTTTTATCTCTCTCAAAGACCCAAGGAAACCCTTGTCTTGTCATTGTTGTCAATGTGCATATATTCTAGGCATTTTTCTCTAATCTTTCATTTTTTTCTTCTTAATACATCTACACTCTATAATATGTACTTTTTTGTTAGGCACTCTATATTCTATATATTAGCAGGACCCTTGCGATGCACGGATTTATTATATACACCCTTATAGATGGTTTATGGTCCTAAAATGCATGAGAAAATCCTTAGGTGGATTTATTTTCTTACCTTTTTAAACTTTTATTATTATTTTTTAGTAATTATTATTTTTACCATTATTATTATGACTACCTTCCTATTCCCTTTTGTAACAAAGTCCTGTTGACCCGTGCATATGAAAATAATAAAAAAATATTAATAGAAAGTTAAAAACAAAACAACTATTAGTTGCAATTATTTTTCTTAATTAATTATAAAAAAATAATTGTAATTAAAAGAGAAATATTAACAATTTAAAGAAGCCCTACATTTTTTTTGTAAATTACAATTCTATAGACACCACATACTGAAGCTATACTACAAGAAGCCTTTCTCTCTCCCATACCATTCATTATTAGACCCATCCTCAAGCCCATCAAGAGTATCCATTCTTTTACATTTAAGGCCCACTTACTTTTTGATTATTTTTATTAATTATTCATTTCTATTATAGTTAAGTTTTATGAATTTCGTTATATAAAATTCAAACTATATTAATTTAAGTAATAAATTTATATATATATTAGTTATGATTAGATGAATTTGTATTTATCTTATTATTTTTCAATGTGTTATTTTTTAAAGCCAAACTAAAATGGACTTAAATTAATAAATCTTAAATTTAAAATAACAAATATTTAGTAATTTTAACTCTATGAAGTTTTATTATGTTCTATTAATTATGAATTTTATTAGTAATTTAAGTTTATGATTTTTTATTTGATAAATTTGTACTAATTTTTGTTATATTATTATATAATTGGTGTTTAGATTGATTTTAATTTTTATTACCTTTGATGAATTATTAATTTTATTAGTAATTAAAACTTATTAGTTAAGATTTTTATTAATTTATTTTATTAAATTTATTAATAAAACTAATTAATTATTTATTAAATTTCATTAATTTCATTAATAGCGTGAGGATCATGGAAACTTACACTACATAGATTGATATAAAATGGGCGCCATGATCAACCCATTTTTATTATCATCTTAGCCGGACTACTTTAACGAGAGTGTGGCAATATTGACCCTACACTAAACTAATAGTGTAGTTTAGTTATTATTATCATTCATGCTCCTTAGGGATGATGGGAAATTTCAACACAATAGTGGGATCATCAAAGGTTGTGAGATTTCTAGACATGCTGACACATGCTTAGAAATGAGGGAGGACCTCCCATAGTGTAATCAATAATCCACCATATGCTGAAAAACCAACGAGAATTGTGTTATGCCAGGATGATGTTAAATTTTTGCTACAAGGGACTTTGATGCCATGAGGGACTTTAGATGCCATAAGGGACTTTTTTGTCATAACAAACTTTGGAACAAATGCATTAACTAATCAAACATTGGTTTTTTATGCCATAAGGTGAAAGACTAATATGATTAGCTAGAAGGTTAATAATTTTCTTAGTCACGAGGAACTTTGATGCCACAAAGGACTTTGATGCCATAACAGACTTTGAAATAGATACATTAACCGACTAAACATTGGTCTCTATGCCACAAGGCAGAAGACTGATATGATTAGTTAAAAGATTAAGGATTTCTTTGCCATGAGGGACTTTGGTATTAACATAATTCAAATGAGAAGCAAGTGATTTTTAACTGATTAATTTTTTTTATTGGAACATTGGTGATTTCTGTGTCTGAAAGG